AACAGTTAACTAAATATTGTACACATTTTTGAGCTATTACAATTTAAAATGGCTGCCATTTTCCATTATTTTAGATTTTTTCATACATATTAATATAATAATAACCGACCTGTACAAAAACTGTGATAGAGCTAGTTATATGCAATTGCCATATGCTGTTATTATCATTACCATAATATATATATATATGATAAATACATACATACAACAACAATCAGCAATAGCTTGATATATATATACATATATATGTATGTATATACACATATATATACATATATATGTGTATTCAATTGTGTATATGTGTATTCAAATATATATATATGTGTATATATATACATATATATATATATATACATATATATATATACATATATTTTTACACACATATATATATACACACATATATATATATATCATATATAAATATATATCATATATATATGTATAATGTGTGGGTGTGTGTGTGTGTGTTAGTATTATGTAACCATATTACATACTGTGATTTACTTATATTTACCTACATCAGTGATTTTATAATATGCTAATGTTCATTATCTCTTTCTTCATTACTGTCACTGCCTGATGAATGAGAAACACTAGACAACAGCTCAGCAACTGCTTCAGGGCCAGCCTGCTTTTCTGACAAGACAGGTCTCAATTTACCATCTTCCATAAACCAGCCCAGTTTGCATGGATCAGGGATTTCTGGATGAATAACAGAATCCTGGCTTCATGTATTGGCCTGCAGATGTGCATGCATTATATGCTGATATAAGGCTCCAGCAGTTGGTGGCAGCTTATCTACACCTTGATTGTTTGGCAGAGTTTTGAATCTTTTCCATCGTAACATTGAGGCACTGTTAGCAGATACTTTCTTCGTTCAGAGAAGACTACACAAAAACTCCTTGCATCACATTCTCACATTAAATGATCCCAAGCTTGGCCAAAGCATGTAAACATGAGGTGGTGATTTCATAAACATCTTAAGGGCTGTTGTTTTCCAACACCATTTATATGCCCTGTAATAATCAGGCTCGTATCCGGGGGTGGGGGGGTTATGGTTCGGGAGAACCCTCCTTTTCTAGCAAACCTCCCTCATTTCTGGCGAACCCCCCTCTTCAGATTTCCCAAATAAGTCCTCCAACTCACCTGGTGCACTGCAGACCCACCCAGACAAAGACCTTTTCAAACATATCTGCTTTTATAGCATTATTTAGACCCATAAAGCACAAAAATCCCAATCGCCTTGCTTTGGGGGTTTCGCCGACCCCACCGGGGCTTCGACCGTGGACCTCACGCTCAGAAAACCCCCCTTGAAAGAACCTGGCTATATGGATAATTTTTTTCATTCCTGATGATGACATAATTAATGTCGAAATATTGAATCCCAACACGATGGCGTGTATTTCAATACTTGGAGTATGTATTATACTTTCTTATCAGAAAAATACTTGTTGATGCTTTTACTAAAGTGCATTGGTCTTAGCGACAGCTCCAACGGCATTGGCAACCTCAGTCCAGCTATGCTGTGTTATCCAAGAACCAAATGCACGGATGTCCAAAATCTTTAAAAGGTCAATTAAAGTAAAATTATAAAGAATCTATATCATCATTATACGAAAACATACCAAAAACCCCTATTAAAGGGATAATTTCACGTTTTTGGTTAGTGTCAATAATAATAATAATAATAAATAATAATAATATTCATCATAATATTGTTATAATTATTGTTATTACTTTGATAATAAGTATGATAAAATTCTGTATCATTTAGGTAGATGTGTATAAGAGACAGGCATAAGCCAGTCAATGACAAAAGATTCTGCTATTTTAGCGAAGTGATCTGTCAAAGAAACTAGGTGTAGCTTATCCCAAGTGGGCGGATTAGATATAGGAATAGGAACGACTATACCTCGTTTTCCTTGCTGAGGAACAACACCTTCACAGAACGATGCATTTAGCACATCAGTTAAAGGACAGCTAATTTCATAAATAAACTCTCATATAATCTTAGCTGGTATTCCATCAGGGCCACCAGCTTTCCTAATATTAATTTTAGAAAGTCTATCATAAACAGTCCAAGGGTGTACTTCCAGTACAGGGGGCTGGAAGAAAAGTAGGTAAGTTTGTAACAGAAAGTGGTGGGATATCTCTCCCGATAGATGCAAATTGATCATTTAAGATCATTCTGCCATGTCTTGGACACTATCACTATCAATGTCCGGAGGAGGAACAATTGGTATTTTTGATTTATTATTTGTCGTCATAATTCGAATTTCTCTACACCATGGAGCAAGGTTAGAATATTTAAGACATTTAACCCTGTTATGATAGTATTCCTTCTTGTCAGCTATAATTGCTCGTTTAACTTTGTTGCTAAAAAAATGCCAAAGTGGAGGTCGATTGAAGAGTAAACTTGTTGTCTTCTCCATATCAATCGCTTGGTATTAGAAGACATCCAAGGTTTGTTACAAATACGAAGCTTAATTTCGCGAACAGGAAAATACTTGTTGATGCTTTTACTTAGGATATCATAAAGTGCATTGGCTTTAGCGACAGCTCCAACAGCATTGGTAACCACAGTCCAGCTATGCTATGTTATCCAAGAACCAAACGCACAGATGTCCGAATCTTTAATAGGTGTGATTGTACACTTGACAAATTCATTTGGTTTCTTTGGTAGCTGCGTGTTGGGAAGCCAGGTCACTGTAGCGTGGTCACTCATACCAATCAGTGAGGACGCTGTAGGCGGTAGGTAGGAATTTGCAACATTAGTTAATATCTTGTCCAACATATTCTTCTTGTTGGAAAGTCCACTATTTAGGAGAGTGAGTTATTTCTATAAAGGCCAGCTACATTTAAATTGTTAAAGTCTCCCATGATGCAAATACCAGCATCTGGGTGTTTCTGTTGTACAAAATCCAAAGAGTCCCAAATGTGCTCTAACATAAGCCTTTTCATGCATGGAAGTAAACTGCAGCAATAATAAATGTAAAAATTCACCGTGGAAGCTTACTTGGGTTTAACTGTATCCAAACAATTTCAAGAAAATCCGGAACAACAAAATTCATTGACTCTAAACTGTTCACGCACATATAATGCCACTCCTCCTCCAACTAATATTCCATACTAATTTTGTATGTACATTATGTCTATCTGTAACTGATTTTAAATTTGTTGTTGGATAGTTAATATTTGACTTACATTAAATGAATACTGTATGATAATTTTTCTTTTTGACAGATTAGTGAATACTAAGATTAAATATCTTCAACAACCAATCAGGAGAAATATGACTGATGATTACAGGCCTAGCAAAAGGTTCTGCAGAGCCAAGTCTGAGGATCCCGCAACTAGGCTGCAAGGAATGGCTTCTCAGTTTGGTTGCAAGATCACCGATGAAGATTTTGCTCTCAAGATGGACGTGCAAGACCCACTGGCATATCTGAAGAAAGAATTTGAAATTCCAAAAATGAAAGATTTACCTGGTGGTATGTCGGATTGTATTTTACATTAATATATTATATCTAATTTGAATTGGAAACTTGTGGTCCAAGGATTTTAAAAATATTTTAAAATAATAAAATATAGTATCAAAATTTACATATTTTATTCACGTTGATTTCATCAAATAATACCGTACAATACTACAATTTCAGAAAAATGTACTAATGCAACGTATAAAGATATGTAAAAGTAGGGAAAACCATAGACAAAGTCCAAACAGGATTCAGCAAACTTAAATTTTGCAAGCCATTAGACAATCTGGGATTTGAGGTTGTTGAGTCATTAAAGTAGCTAGTGGCGTATACATGCATTTTAATTTAACCTCTGATTTTTTGCACCCACTCTTTACCATTTGGTAAGTACAGGAAGTATACCATAATTGTCTCTTTTGAATTAGGTCTAATGTTTTCTTGAGTCATACCGGTAAGAATATATTATGGGAGGGTCCCTCATGTGGCCTACTGTGAACATTTCCTAATAAACAAAGCATAAAAGCATGTGTATCTGCTATTTGTGTCTGTAAGGAGGATTATAATAATACATTAAAAATCAATTATAATAAACCTAGATTTTCTGAGTCTATAAGTTTCGTGTCACAAACTTTCACTAGGTACAGTATGTACTGTTCTCGCACAGGGCCCAGTTATGCTTTAATAACTAAGTATCACAAGGAGACTAGGGAGTTGAGTTTAGTCGTGAGCAAAAATCCTGCTGTCACATAAATTGAACCCAGGAAACATCTTAACCATTAGCCTATTAAACCATAGAGAAAGATTAAACTTCACTCCAAAACATTAGGCAAACTGGTCGAATCTGGCAATGCAGAGTGGAGTTGAAAAGCAGTGGTTAATATGCTTGCCTTCTAATCCCAGGCTCCTGGGTTTAATTCCTGTCGCATCAGGACTGTTTTTCATGACCCAAAACAACTCTACTCCCTAAGCCTCATAGGGTTTATAAAGCATCATTCCATCTTGTAAGTGGCAACTGTACTTGCTGTTGAACGTGAAGGAAATAAATAAAAACAAATTAAAAATGCTGGCATTGCTCATTCTTGAGTGATTATTCACTGTAGGCCAAAAATACAAATCTGCTGTGTTGCCCTAAACAAACCTTTGGAATTTATGTGTCGGTAGGCTAGTATACAAATAATGAATGTTTATGAGTACAATGGGGTAGAATATTTCATTCGGTGAAAGATTGGATGTTCTATTCTTAAAATTGTTACACTGCCGCTAGCAGTCCTCAATGCAATCGGGAAGCCTCCCCAATTTGACCGACCAATCAGCGTCACCGAAAGCTGTCAGCGATAGCGCATAGCGATTGTATGGAAACCAAGCTTAATTAGCAAGTTACTTGCAGTATATATTTGATTGAATTAATATACCAAATGCTTAGATCAACACACTGTACATAGTTTAAAATTAACCTTGTGTTTTTTTCCATCCATCAGTTGATTTATCTTTAGTGGATGCAGAGGCAGAAGGTATATACATGTCTGGTAACTCATTAGGTTTGATGCCCAGATTAACCAGGCAATACATGACAAACGAACTAGATAAGTGGTCTAAAACGTAAGTGACTGTTCATTCATTTTTATTTTTTAGCTCACAGGTGATTAATTCATTATTTACTTTATATTATATATTAATGCTTGCGGTACGCCACATAGATAGTTCTGAAAAGAACTGTTGGTGGTTCAGAATGTTTTGGCGTTTCGATTAAGTTGCTTCAGTCTTCTTCAGGGGAATAATATCTACTTTATTTTATTATTGTTTCTTTGTTTGTTTTTAATATTTATTGCACTCCAATCAACTCCAATACATCAAAATACAAAAATAAAAACTGCAAAAACAAAATGGAGTGAACAGAATAAAAAAAGAGAAAGGAATGCAGAGGATAGCTCTATAAGCCACGAGGCTTGTTTCCATAGAGGTCCCCAACAAAAACGACAGAAACAAGATCAGAATACAGAATTACTAAAACACAAACCCATCAAACCTGAACAAGCAAAGACAGATAAAGATTCAGAAGAAAATGACAAGATCAAAAGCAAAAAATTACGGGATACACAAACTATTAAAAAGCATTTTACGGGATACACAAACTATTAAAAAGCATTTTTTAACGTTACAATAAAAGTTTAACAACTTATTTTTAATTATTTACCTCGTTGGACAATTTATTTCAGATAATGATAGAATTATTTAAAAAAATTAATTTACTAAAATGCGAATTATTGAGTGGAACAACAAAGTTAAGTTTCCTACCCCAAGTATTATGTGAATGACTAAGTTTTTTAAAATGATCCTGCAAATTTTTAGGGCTATTATAATTTAAAATTTGATGAGTTAGACTTAAGGCAAGACTTTTTTTATACCTTGTTTAGCGAACCCGCTGAATGAAAATATTGATGATTTCGAATAAAAATAACATTTTAGTTTTAGCCAATTAGCGCACTCGCCGTTACGAAAAAGTGAAAATTTCACAAAAAAAATAAAAGTTTTTCTTCATTTTTATTACACCCTCCCCTGCCTTGAAATCTCCAAAGATAAGATATGTATATTTCTTCCTAATTATATAAATTTGAAGCATTTAAACATCCTATTTTACATTCACCAAATTTTATTTTTATTTTCTCCTCTGTCTGGATGATTTTGGCAAATCTTTTTGCTAAATAAGAAAACAAAATTTCATTTTTATTTTTATTCCACTCTCCAATAATCTTTCAAAAAAATAAGTACACAAAACAAGGAATAAAAAAAGTCTTGCCTAAAGTGAGTTGTTTGGCCCTCCCCTCAATATTTAACTTATTCAGCTTCCAATTCTACAGGGAAATTAAAAATAGCCTTCTGATAAGAGCATGAGTACAGCATATTACAGAAACTAGGTTAAAATTACTCTAAACATCAGTTACTGGTCATCTGCCTTAAAAGTATATTTGTGCAAGCACAGTTAGCTCAAATGCTAATATAGGTCACTGAGAAGGAAAATTTGTATAGCAGCAAGTGAGTTACAAGTGGTATGCTTTTATAGAGTACTACGTTGCTATGTCTACACCACGTGATAGCCCTTCGTTGCTGAGCAAAACTATCCAAGTAGTCAGTGTGGCTGAGTGTCTTCTCAGTTAAGCTGCAGTTAACATTTTCGGCTACTGCAACTTTCTACTGTAACTTAACATTATTATACAACTTTATTTATTATTAAACAGTAGTGAGAATGTTTTTGAGAATTCTTCATATCTTTTAATTTGTTTCTCCAATTCTCATTTCAGAGGTGTCTATGGACATTTCAGTGGTGAGCTGCCGTGGGTACATTGTGACGAGAGAGTTCAAGCCGACATGGCAAAACTAGCTGGTAAGAACTGTCATTTATTTTATTTATTCATATTTTTATTCTTTTCGTTTTAGTGACAATAACAGTATTAACCTTTATTGGCTGTCCTACACAAGACAGTGAGTACTAATAATAGCTAGTATTTTATAGCTGCTCATGCCAAGAAGGCCCCTGTGCTCTTTGCATTATTACCCAGCCATTAAATCAAACACCTAATGACTTAAGTATTCAAACCAAGGACTTTTTAACAGTTAAAGGTCAAACTTATTCAAACTATGGGTCAGCAACCCATTTATTTGGATAAATTGCTGTAAATTATATAAATTTGTTTGTACTCTAGGGCATTAGAGGTAGGAAGTAATAAGAAGCACTCCTACAAGTCCTACAATTTTCATTCTTTAGATTCGAACCCCCTTCTGAAAATTTAAAACGTCCACAACCAGCTATAACTCTGGCCACAGCCCTCGGTTGACATTTCACACCAAAGGCCCCGGTAATTAGTCCTGCACTGGGGCCCATTCTCACCTATCTACGCCGCTGACTGTAATGTAGTTTCATTGAAATTTGTCTGAGAAAAAATGTAAGCAGTACTTTTTTAAAATGTGCCTGACGATAAATGGGTCTATATAAAACCAGCAGAAGTCACTACAACACACTTAATTGGCAGCAACATTTTTAATCTTAAAAAAATCATCTATTTTTTCATCAATATCTTTTAGTTTTACGCATATTTGTTTTATAAATTTTACTTTTATTTCTTTATTCTTTATACTGGGAAAACCTGTTCAGTAGCATATCTACTGTTCTCCCACAGGGCCCAGTACAAAAGTCAACACAATTCATAAAAACAAGCAACATACATAAACCAGAAAATATACATTAACATCCAGATCATAACATTTTTTAAATAGTTAAAATAATATAAGATCAATACGAACATTTAAAAATAAATTTAGAGAAATACAGCAGTAAAAATGGCTAGTTATTAATATCATTATTATTATTATTATTATTATTATTATTATTATTATTATTATTATTACCAATATAACCAAATTTATCAACAATTTTGATCCCGCTGACACTTGCACGTGGGTCTCTTGTTGCCGCTGTGCGCTGTGCAGAAATTGCTGAGTGTGTGTCATGCCATTTGTGTGGGAATGGATTTCCCCCTGATTATTTGAAACGTTGAAGTCTTCTGTGCAATCATCTAGTGTATTTTTAAATTATTTCTGAATTACAATGTATGCAATATCTTTGTCATTTAATTTTTTAATTATGGAGTACTTTTGTTTTGAAATTTTTAAATTGTATTCATCCTGTTTAACTTTTTTGTGCAATATTTTGATGTTCTGGTTTAAATTTATTTTAATTCAATTTTTGTTAAATTTTTTGTTATTACTCTTCTGAGTGTTTTTTTTTTTTTTTTTCCTTTGTAAATAAACATTTAAATTAACAAATAATTAATAAATTTTAATGTACATTATACAATTCCTGTCTCTTATACACATCTATCTTAATTGAATGTATGATTTAGTATATTACATACCCAAGTATTGACATGTATGTATTATATTTTCTTATCTGAGATTAATCAGTGGCCCTTTCGGGTTTGTTCTGTATTTTCGCCTGTTCTCTTGTATATTTTGTGTGGTTCTGTAATCTGTTTAAGGGGGGATGTAGATAGAGGTGCTTGACACCTGTTCATCCCCTCCTTTTCGCTGCTTTTTGTCTTGTTTTTGAATTATTCTTGTATTTTTGCAGTGATGAAGTGTAATAAATTAAAGTCTTAAAATAATAATTTCGAATTAGGCCTAGTATATAACAAATAACTGTATTAAAGTTTAGGTTCTCATGATGTCAGACAACGTATTGAATATGATGCTATATTTTGGGCTGACTTAATCTAACGATGGCCCTGTCAGTAGTAATGACAATATTTGTACCTTTTTTAGCCATGTAGTAAAATAGCACTATTATTTTCAGTGTACAAAATGAGAGTCAAGAAGAAGTAGTAGAAGAAGAAGAATAGGAAGAGGAGGAAGAATAGGAATAGCCTAGCTTTTTTTTTTAAATAATAATAAATGTGTTCAGTATGATATTGATGTAACCTTTGAAATTTCAAGGACTCTATATGGGATGTTCCCGCGGAGTCTCACTCTCTCGTGGGGGTTCATCGACTAGCCAAGCTGCGTCTTGTTGGAGGCTCACACTTTGTATAGAATAAAACCGTTAACATCCAGCTTACTTGGTGTCTGGCTCATTCATTGAAGTCCGAACTCATCTAGTAACATCCATAGAGAGTTACATTGATTATGCGATGACGGGTCTTTCGGTGTTATTTAAACATGCCAATTCTCAGAAAATATTTTCTAATTTTATTATATTACCACCTTTTTATTACATAGATGTTTTTCAAAACATAACTGCTTTTAAAACATGATATACACCCATTAAACACAAAAACTGCTCTGGCTTCGGGGGCTTCGCCCTCGACCCCACCATGGCCCTTAGGCAGGCCCCTGGACCCCACACCCAGAGAACCCCACCTTGAAATGACCTGGTTACGGGCCTGTATCACCAACTCTCATCCTGTCAGGATTGACTCTAGGGTTTCAGAAGAAGAAGCTGGTCAAATATGTATGAGATGTTGCAAGTCTCGTTGTCTGTGTTCATTGTTTTTCTGTGCTTTCTGAGGGCTGCACAATTGCTTCTCTTACTGTTCTTGTATTCTACATTGTTTCTGTTTTGATTACTTTGGCATTGTCCCAGTCTAGTGCCTGGTCTTGGTCCATATGATGGCTGATTTGGGAAGAAACCATCAGAAACCAAAGGAGTTAGAACTTTTGAACTTGTATGCTGTTTTTCTTAATGTCTGACTGACAAGCTCACTCAGCCAATATATTAAAGTATCTAAATTTGGCTTGTAATTTGCTTATCATTCAGTTTTACAATTTCTATTTTCAATTTCTATTTTCAATATATGGAACTTCTGTGGGATATTAGATTTTCAATGAATTAGCTACCAACCAAGAAAGATTTTACTAAAAACTATACTGTTCAAACTTTTCTTATTTTTATTATGCACAGGGGCGGATCCAGAGATGTCCAAAAGGGAGGGGGAAGGGCCGATGGAGATAACACTGTCCTAGGGGATTCGGGGGAATGCCCCCACGAAATGTTTGCGTTCTAGACATTTGAGGCATTCTGGGCTATCATTTTTTTCTTTTTCTTTGTTTTTTTTTTCTTTTTTTTACCTCCCAATTTTCCCCCCAAAAGGGGGTCTGCCCCCCCCCCCCCCAAATCTGCCCCTGATGCATGTGCTGTTCAAACTTTTCTTATTTTTATTATGCTTACAATTAAACTTAAGTAACAGTGTAATACAATACTTGGACTGATAGACCCCATCAATTTTATGAGCTCTTGCGTTAAAATTTAATGATTTCATCTGGCAGGGATTTCCATGACCCCTAATTTTCACGATCAGAAGAGCACAGATAATAAAACTTTTAATTTGATGAGACTCAATGAAAATAGTAATGAAATTTATATAATGTTTAATGCCTTGAACTAGCATGCCGTAAACTAAATGACATCGTTAATGATTTTTGGCATAATTCATCATTGTGAAAGAGTAAACTATTAAAGAGGGTGGCCACAAGTCAATCAGAACTAAACAATGCATTATCAAACATTTTAATACCCAATAAAAGCTTTTTCTTTGATTATAGATGATTTTAAAAAATAAATATAAAATAAAGAATTCATGATTAAACAATGGAGGAAAGAAATGCTTTCAAAATGGAAAGAAAATTTTTACATACCATTCCAAATGTTTCTTTAAGTCAGATTAACAAAAATCAACTTTAAATATTTATAACAGCACTCTGAATGAATTTATTTCCTACTTCTCTTCTCCACCATCTTTCAGAAGGAGACATTTATGCTTTTGAAATGCTAAATTCATGTTCATTAATTGTTTCGCTTAAAAATAAAGATACAATTATACCAGTAGATGTACTGAAGTTAATTTACAGTACTTTAACTGACATGAACTGCTATAATATTATTGAATTAATAATAATATATACAGGTATAAGCATTTTTTATGATAAATCTTTAATTAGCCTTCTATAAAGCCAATAAGGTCGTTAATCATGGAAGTTGCTGGTTTGTGTATACTTATTCCATGGTGTGGCTAGAAATGCTGTAAAGTAGCAGAGGCCTTTCCAGTGTGTCAGATGATCTGTTTTTACATTATGTCCTGGCCATATCTGTTGAAGAAAATGTGGTAGATTTTATAAATAATTAACATTAAAGAGATTTTTGAAAAGAATTAGTAAAACAGTGTTAATGTTTGAAAAAAGATGATAGAAACTAGTTGAAAAGAAGGTTTAGTAGCTTTACAAGTGCGTTATAACTCATTTTATCAAGGTATGTTATAGTGTATTTGGGAAAGTCTACCAAGTCTTACTGAAGACAAAGAGCAAAAGCCTATATAAGAATGGAGAAGAAAGTTTCAAAAAGTTCTTTTAGACCAAATCTAAACTCTTGTAATTTTGGTAGATTCTAATGATGCCTTCAGTTTTTGAGCATTCAAAAAAATATATGCAGGAAGAATACAACTGGTATGCTAGTTTGTAAGCATATATTGTGGCTGAATTGGTCAACTGTTAGGTTAGCTCTGTAGGCCTACTTTCCAAAACCTCTGTGCATTGAGAAATAATCATCTATTTGGTTTTGTGAAAATACTTCACATTGTATGTAAAGTACACAGGTCTCTTTTAGCAACATACTTGCCTGCTCAACAAACGAATACACTGTAAATGTAGTACAGTACTACTGTAGGCCTAAAACTATTGCAGGCAAGACAATAAATGTTGGAATGAGATTCAGTTTTTTTATAGACAAAATATATGTAAAAAATATTCATAGGTCTGCTGAATTTGTTTATAAACCATCAGTTATTTTAACATTAAGCCTCAATTGTTTTCTCTTGTAAATATTCTAAATCATTGGTGTACTCTACTTTCGAATATTGGAAGAATCCTAAAAGGACATCTCTCAATCAGTACTATACAAATTTATTTCATCTCATATAATTTAATTTGTCATATAATTTAAAATCATTTGCCTTTTTTCGGTCACTAGTTAGTGATACCAATGACTACTTTGCATCAAACCAAACAATACAGAATAGAATGTATTTAAAATAATTTTTAATGTTTTTTTTACAATCTTTAGGTGCAGAAGCCAGTGAAGTTTGTGTAATGAATGCTCTGACAGTAAACCTGCACCTGCTAATGGTATATCTTCATATTTATATTTAGCATGAAACTGATAGATTCTCTTTAACCTTAAAAACTAAATATAGATATGTGTATACTATATAGGAATTACTTGATCATATTTTTACAAATGCCTCAGACAAGACTTCTTTATACCTTGTTTAGCGACCCGCCGACTGCAAGTATTGATGAATTCAAATTTTTTTGGCCAATTAGTGCAACCCACTGCCACGAAAAAGTGGAAATTTCAGAAAAAATAAGAGTTTTTCTTTATTTTTATTATGCACTCCGCTACCTTGAAATCTCCAAAGATGAGATAGTCCTTCCTAATTATATAAATTTGAAGCATTTAACCATCCTATTTTACATTCACCAATTAAATTTAATTTTTTTATTTTCTCCGCCTGGATGTTTTGGCAGAACTATTTGCTAAATAAGAAAACAAAATTTTTATTCCACCCTCCTCCAATGATCTTAAAAAAAAATAAGTACGCAAAACAAGAAATAAAAAAAGTCTCGCCTTAAGCACTTTGTTTAATTATTCAATTACTGACTGGAAAGTTAAATAATTTTCACAAAACATATTGACAGATATTAAAATAGATTATGATAATGTAGTAGATTAATTAACATTAAAATAGATAAATATAAATCTGTATACTGTATTGCAATTACTTGACCATATGAGGCATGTTGTGGCAAAATGGCTAAGTTGTAGCAAATATTGAAATTCAAGTTATTGGTATTTTCAGATAAATGAGTATGTGATCTTTAAAATGAAGGGTCATTCATAGAAATTGGACATTTCAAGCCTAAGTTATTGGAAAGTGAATGTACAGTAGTCTTAGAATCAAGATAAGCAAAATTTTGAGTAATTGCCTTTCAAAGTTATTTGTGCATACATTGTTTAATAGAATGAACTATCAAAATAACATTAAATAAACAGTTTGTTGACCACTTCCAGAACTAATACTTTGGCACATGATTAATAAGACAATAAACTGTTGATCTATAGTGAAAAGCAAATTTGGATTTTTTGGCAATTTTTTGAACTCCCATATTTTAAAGCTCATTTACTCAATACTGGACTGTGCGACAACTTAACCATTTCGATAGACATGCCTCATATTTTCTCAATTCCCTTAAGTACATTATTTAAAAATTTAATAACTGAGTGGAAAGATGAATAATGTTCCCAAAACATATTGATAGATATTAAAATAGATTATGATATTATACCTTACTGTATCATAGATTAGCCCTTTCACTGCGCATACCCGGTAGTACAGGGAAGAAAAAAATGTTGTTGAATTGCACGTCCCCGGTAGTACCGGGTAATGGAAAATAATCTTTTAAAAATTAGCCTGGAGTGCACGCGCCATCTATAGTTTTTTTCCATGAACTAACGATAATTTCTTTGTGGAAAGTCAAGTTTACCAGTGGTATAGGCTGTAAACGGCCCCACAACAGGCGATAAAATGTCAAAAAATTTTATAGACCAGACCTTTGGTGATACGGACAGCAAGGACAATTTTGATTTGAACGATTCATGTAATTCGTTTCCAAAAGTTGACTATGGTAATGCCGACATTGATTACATGGACAAGACCGATGATTTGCTCGGTTCCAATGCTATGTCTGTGAATTTGACGATGATGCGGGTAATTTATTTGTAGTCAAGCAGTTTTATTTCATGAAAGACAATCGTTGATATAATTATTTACAAACTAAATTATATGGGGTATAAATGACTAATTGTTAAAAAAAAACATATTTTACAGTGATTTTTTTGAAAATTTAATGTTTTTTCACGATTCTGACGACAAAAATTTACTTCTGTACAGTATGTTTTTGAATAGAATGATGAAAATAGTTCAAACTATGTATGTTTTTATTCATTTTATGTATCTTCATTGTTATCCAGTGAAAAAACAGCATCCCATAAGAATTTCTGGGAGAAAAATGTGATTTTTTCACAGAATTTATGAAAAAAAGGAAAATCCAATGTGGCCACCAAAGAGGCCACTTGACCACCTAATTATGAAAAATACCAAATTTCAATTTTCACCCCATAGGCCAACCTCTTGTCCACCCCAACATGCAAAACAAATTTCAAAATAACCTCTTTCAGTATTTTTTTTTGCATTTATTTCAAAATCACCTTTTTTCCTCAAAAACAGGCCCAGTACAGGGGGTGTATTTACCTTCAGCAGTGAAAGGGTTAACTAAACTTTTCCATTATTTCATATTGTTAATAACATATTGGTAGATATTAAAATCAGATTATGATAATATATAATTAATTTATTAACTTTTGAGATGATTTCAGGAAAATAGGTAGCAAGTAAATGTGGCATTATTTTAACCATTATTCTTGTAAAAATAAGCAAAATGTAGTCTTTTTTATATGCGTAACATAAAGACAGCAAGATTCACCCCACCCCCAAGGCGGCAAATCATTTCAGTGAATTAAAATAATAAAAATGAATATTAAGTTTTCATTGGAATAGGGATTTAGATCCACATTCTCATTTTTCGCATCACTCTAGGCCAAACCTTTTCAAGATTGTTTAATTACATAGTAAGGGTTTACTTGTAGACGTTGCTGTTAATTCTTGTGTAGTATTTCATTGTGTTTATGAAACTTAGTATAATCACTATAGTAAGTTATTAATTTTTTTATTTTAAATTTTTTTATATTAACATTTTTTCCTTTAGATGTCGTTTTATCAACCAACCAAAACACGCAACAAGATATTAATGGAATCTAAGGCTTTTCCATCAGATCAGGTAGGAAAAGTCATGCTGTGCAAAATGCCATACAAAAAAAATCATATTAAATTAGCCTCTCCAAAGAAACAGGACTTCAGGGAGGCTATTGTATTGGCTCAAACTCATTAAGCCAATACCAGTTTTCATTGTTGGTAGTAGTAAATTTATTGTTTGCATGTCTGATGGGTTTAAATAAACATTGGATAGAGTCCTGCTTAACTCGGTTGGCTGGTGCGCTTAGCATTGGTCCCTGGTTCAATTCTATCATCCACTGCTAAAATGTTTCATTTTTTATGGGGGCGTAACCACCCTTTTTTCCACCTTTTACCCCCAGTTTTTTTGATATTCAAAAATCTGTATCTCTCTAACCATTCCCCAGTTTTTCCTCAAACAACTTTTGTCTGCCTTACAAAAATCAGTTCTACTACATATCAAACAATTTTTTTCCACCGGAGCCTGACTTTAAAGCACATTTGACTACCGTACCATGTTAAACGACCAGGTTTTGTGAGGTCCAGTGATGGAACCAGAAGGGGACAGGGAGGCAATTTTTTCCTCCATCTGACAGGCCCAGAGCCCAGTCATCACACTACGGTGAGGTAGTCAGACGAAAAATATTAATTTGCATATCCAAAACATTTGCAATCCCAATGTTTGGAGGCAACCTGAAATGTAAATATTCAAAGTATTCAAAAAAGGAGCATTTAGGATATAAAAGTTTCGGGATCGGGATGGGGTCAGTCCTCAAAATGGGGCAAGGGGGTCGATCTTGATGGGGTGGGGACGGAATTTTCAAAAGTCTCACGCTTGCAAATTTGTCTAACTTGAAATTTCTGCTCTACTGATGATCAAAGATTTTGTATCTTTACTGCCCTCTCTAGTGCAGAATAGTCCATGTAGTAAATAATAGTAAACACTTCTGAAATAGTAAGTGTAGTCTGGCTCCATAGTATATAACAGATATTAAGGAATAATTTACCATGCCTCAAGTGGTTTTGTAATGCCTTTACTATTTAAATTAATTTTGTTCAAATAATTATGTTACAATTCACAGCCATAGTTTTAACCTTTATTTGAAACATTGCCAAAATGTTCCTATTTAGATTTATATATTTGAATGATGGGTTTTATGTTTATAAAGGTAAATTAATAAAAATAAAAGTTTAAAGGTAAAAAAATAAAAAATAACCTATAACTTGCAACGTCGTGCTGAATTGTGTATGGTCGTTGTCTTATCGAGCTGCTGTAAAGAGGCGCTTATAGTAGCTTTGTGTTCACATTGTTAACGACAGGTGCTGAAATTAACCATAGCTTTGGGATAATCCCACATTCTTTCTAAATCACAAGCCGCACTTGACTCCAATTTTAAGTCTTCGAGAAGACTTGGCTCTACAAACCGAACCTGGGGCGAGGAGCGCAGATGTTAATATTGTATAATGACAATTTATATAACGCTTTTCTCTATTCAAATAATGAATAAATTGGACTTGCAATGTAATACCTCTGCCATGTAAATTCAACTTGAAAAGTAGAAAAATGTACATTTTTGTAGATTTTGTGCTTCTACTAAATATACAATCTTTAGTATTGCATTATTCTAATCACCACCGTTTTTTTTTTTTTATTTACCTGTGGAATTAGTTGCCTTACTTTATTAATGACCTCCTTAGCCACCTGATTTCCTTAATAAGACATAATTATTAATTAAACCATTGTATATGTTCCAAGGTTGCCCATTAGATCATTACTTGTTGGTGGGTTGATTAATGAGTCGGATCATGCACAATTTATTATTTATTAATGAGTGTTGCATAAACATATGCCTCAGCTTTGTATATTGATCATCTTTAAATTTGCTGCAAATAAATTGTGAATGTACAAAGTTGTTTATGTTAGAAAACATCTTGATTGACGGGATTTGAAGGACTAAACTACAGCTCCATGGATGGTGAAAGGGGCACTCACTCCCATCCCCTTGACGGGAGCCAAAAATTTTTAACCAAAATGTAAAGTTTTTAGATATTAAAATGAATAAAACTTTAAAGCTTCCATCCACAGAAGGGAACACACAAATTGCTTAACTTGAACTATAAGTCCTGTTCCCCCACCCCACTTCTTGGACGGTTTGTTGTGTTCAGGCTAACTCAGACAGCGTCGGCCGATGCAGCCCGACCCGATTTATCGTCATAGACAGTCTTAAGCCGTCGTGAGAAATACTAAACATGTTTAATATTCTACGACTTGACTGTCCCCGATGCACACCATCGCGTCTGCGTTCAACTCACATTGACCCGACGCGACAACAAATCGCGTCGGGCTGCGTCGTACGACACTGTCTGAGTTGGTCTTTACACAACTCATAGTGGTTTGCAATAACCCCCTTCTACCAGCATATAGTCCTGGGCACAGTCCTCCAATCATTTTAACAGCACCAGCATCTTTGAAATATGCAAAGTTATAATTCTGAATAATGAATATTTATTAGTGTATGATAATTGACATTGTCGTCGGACACTCATATCAGTAACGCTAACTACTTTAGCATAAATGTAACTTAGGATTTGATATTGAAGAAAGCTAACTGTAAAATGTAAAACAAATTAAATTTCAAAATTTCAAAAATACCAAAAAAGAAATATGATAAATAATTTTCTGGCTCATGGCTGCTGTTTACTTGTGTCTAAAGTTGCAGTACAGTACTACAGTATGTATATAGCTAAATGGCCAACTTGACAGAAAATGAGTGAGAGGAAGATAAAGACTGCAATCTTGTTTGTCAGAGGTGTTTATTTCTACTGGCTAAGAAAAACAGTTTATAGCAATGGTTCTTTCAAAGATCAATAATCAGTGTCTGCGGAAATGGGCCCATAAACAAATTATGGATTCTGCTACAGAATTGTTATTTGGCACAGAATCAATTCTTTGTCCAGCAGGCCAAGAATGGTTTCTCATGACATAGTGTTGAGCTGCAACTCAAATAGTAGCCTAATCTGACCTAGGCCAACTTAGGTCAACAGAAGGAGTAGATAGTAAGAGTGGAGTCGAATAGCTTGGTGGTTAAGATTCTTGCCTTCCAATCCCAGCGTCCTGGGTTCAATTCCTGTCAATGCTGCTGGAATTCTTCTCATGACGAAAACAACTCAACTCTCTAAACCTCATATTGAGATTCAGTTGGTGTAAAGCATCGTGTGTGTATGTTTGTCATGTGTAAGGGATTGCCACCTTCAGGACAATGATATATTGACAATTCTTGGTGCTTGAGTTGTGTGCCTAAGTAAATAATAATAATAACAAATATTTCTATTTAGAAGGGGTTTCTAACTACTCGCAATCATGGACACAGTGTTTTGTAGTGGGTATATTTGACTGTTCACTCAATTATGATTCCTTTTTTATGTTTATTTTTTATATTCAATTGTTATTTTTCATTTAAATGCACTATAAATTATGTGTCTTTATTTATTTCAACTTTCTTTTTTATGGATATGGCAAGTTCAATGCAAAGGCACTGTTTTCATTGTGGTCCACAGTTAATGTTTGTATATTGCGTTTGCTGTTAAAGTGAATGATATCTGTCCTTGATTTGATTGATTACTGTAAATGCTGATCTATCAGAACCTTTGTTTTGGTTCTTTGCAGTATATGATTGAATCTCAAATCCAGCTGCATGGATACAAGCCGAGTGATTGTATTATTTATGCAAATCCAAGACAGGTATGAATACACACACCACTCATTAACAATGTTTACAGGTATTTTAATACCTGTAAACATTGTTAATGTTTACAGGTATTTTAATACCTGTAAACATTGTTAATGTTTACAGGTATTTTAATAAACAAAATTAATTAATAATGAAATAAATTGAAAAGATTCAAAAGAAATCTGGTATTTATGATATTTCTCATTTTTATGCTGGATTTCCTTTTTGTTTGCTAGAAAGAAATGATACATACCTTTAGTACTTACTCAACAACATTCAAATTGATTATTCCAATTTATTATATTGCTATTGTCTGAACTTGGATATGGTTGAATCATGGCAGGCACACAGTCAGTGTTTTAATTTTAATTTTTTTTTTTTTTTTGGTCATGTATGATTTTATCATTCAAACATAATTTTTGCAGAAAGTGGAACAATCCTGTCAAAGGTGGGACAGTTGGAATCTTTTATAGCACAGTAAACAGTTTAAATGTTAAATTTTCTTCACTTTACATCAAAGTATAATACATACTCCAAGTATTGAAATACACGCCATCGTGTTGGGATTCAATATTTCGACATTAATTATGTCATCATCAGAATGATGATGACATAATTAATGTCGAAAGGATGATGACATAATTAATGTCGAAATATTGAATCCCAACAAGATGGCGTGTATTTCAATACTTGGAGTATGTATTACACTTTCTTATCTGAGATTAATCAGTGGACCTTTCACTTTTTATGATAGTCTTTTAAATTAACAGGTCATGTAATTCCTTTTTTTTTTTTTTTTTTTGGTTTTTACAGGGTGAACATGTAATACGAACTGAAGATATTCTGGAATTAATTAATAAGCATGGTTCGGAAATTGCAACAATAATGTTTAGTGGAGTTCAGTATTTTACTGGTCAGCTATTTGACATGGAGACCATCACCAAAGCTGGTCATGATCAGGTGGGTTGGTTACTTATTTTCTCTTCATCACCAACAAAGATAGAACCAAAGATACTTTAATCGTAATAATTACTGTTATTAACATATATAAATAGGAAATTAAATAGGTTTAAGAATTTTGAATATCTTGGTTATATATATTAATGCTTGCGGTAGACCACATAGATAGTTCTGTTTGTTTTCACATGGTGTGTTCAGATTCACACTCCTGGTAAATATTGACCTAGCCTGGGTTCCAGGCCCTAATTTTGGGTTACTCACTTTTTATTGTACTTATTGTTGAAAACTAAACAAAAGCTGAGCTATTGTTTAGTTTTCAACCAATCACCAGCAAGTCTCACCAACCAAAACGTAAGTATTTCACTGTTTTGGGATTTCTGCAGATACCATTCTCCTGAAGACGATTGAAGTAACTCAATCGAAATGTCAAGATATTCTCAACCAACAACAGTTCTCATAACCATCCCACGTCCTCTGCAGACTGTGTTGTATTGCGTTGTTTCATAGATTTCCATGGAAGATAACATCCTTCCAATTTTACCACTTATTCTTCCTATAGTCTATAATAGATTTTAATATGTTTAGGATAATTAACAGTTATCGTTGAGTTGTCCACATAATTATTTTCAATATTATTCAATAACAGTAGTACTGTATATATCTGGTTTAGAATAGAGATGTTGTGTTTGGTTTTATTTTTTAAAGGGTTGTTTAGTTGGATTCGATCTCGCACATGCCATTGGCAATGTTGAGTTGCGTCTTCATGATTGGAATGTAGATTTTGCTGCATGGTGCAATTATAAAGTAAGTGGTGTAACATTCTTATGAATATTTAATGAGGTCTTATGAATATGTCAATAACTCTTATGGTTATGCAGTTGGTAACATTAATTTGCATTATACTAAAAATAAATTATATATGTATATTTAAATAGAGGTCACTTTAAGTCATAATCATAATCATGTAATATTTCTGTTTCAATTAATAAATAATGAGATGTGTTTTTCTTATATTTTTGCTCTTAATTAATTCATTGCTTCCATATTCTTGCCTTTATTGTTTTCTTATCAAAACTGAAGCATGTTGGAAATCCATTACTTTAAGAAAATAAGTACATATAGCAAATCAAATAATATCTAATATTAATACCAATAAATCAATTGCCTGTATAGAATTTATATAAATGAAGTTCAAAAAGGCAATGCCCTAGAAGTGGAAGTTGAAGTAAATATTACATCATGTAATAAAGTGACTTATGTGTTTAATGACAAGGAAAAACCTAATACCGTTAAAGGTTACCCAACATTGACATAGTAATCATTTAATAATATTCTTTCAGAAACAATTGATAACAAATATGACAGATTGCTCACTGCTTTATCTTATCATTATTTTTCCTATTCAGTCTATTTGACACTATGAATAAATAATAATAAGTTAGTTTTAACTTGGTTCATATCTTTATATAGTGCCTATTCCTTTAAGTTTTCCCTGAAATCCCCGAGCTCATGGATCGGAAACCACATCATTCTTGCTGCGCCAAGCCACTTCCACAAAATAGAGATTTCACAATACAGGTTATTAAAATAGAATAGGCCTATAAAATACATAGTCTGCTCAATTTCAAGGCTGTTTAGAAACTTCAGAATTTGTTCAAGCTACAGCTCAACACAGTATTGTGTGTAGTATATGTTTCATTCCAATTCAGTCCGTTTCACTGGTCGATTATATTTTTAGTTTTCTATTTAAAACATAACAATATGTTTTTTGATCCTCAGTATGTTAACAGTGGGGCAGGCTGTTTAGCTGCGGCATTCATACATAATAAACATTCCTGTAATGTAAAACCAAAGTAAGTATTTAAATGGCTTTCATTTAATATAAAAATCATTTTGACTGGTCTCTAGACTACATTCACAATAAGCCCAAATCCGGCCAGGAGCCTGGACAAAAAATCTGGAGTTATGTTTTTTGAACGCTGCATGGAAAACGTCTAGAAAGGTAATTCATGCTCATTGCTGATTGGTCTAATGAACGATTTCAAGATACAAATGGTTTTCAGATCCATTGCTCCAGATCTTGAGTCCGGACTGGAAATCATACAAATTTCATGTGAACGGTCCTATTCTTTACCGCTGAACCCATTTTTCACGATTTTCTATCAAGGCACCGCACCGGACCGGATCCGGGTTTTGGTTTGAACGTAGCATTAGAAAAGCCTTACATGGGTTTTTGAAAATCATTGTATTTCCAAAGCATGGTCGCTGTCTTGTATTTTGTATTGATATTATCACTAGCATGTGTCAATGCTCACAAAATACTATGAATTTGTGTCCTTATAACAGATTCTGTATATTTAATCTATATTTTTTGCCAGTTGGTATAATGTATCATATTCCTTATCTGTGTATTAACTTAATTCGAAGTACTACAGTAAAACCAATTCATAATTTTGATCTCAAAACTTTCTGTCATTTTTGATTGAACACCACTACCTCATCTCACAAACGAGCACACACTGATGAAATCTTGACATTTAGTAAATTAATTTTGCTGTGGTTCAAATTAAATCATGTTGTTGGTGAGTTATGATTCAAATTAATTCATTATGTTTGCCATTTTAGAAATTCAAACTGGCATATAATTTCTTAAAGCTTAGTTAAAAGAAAATGGAACATAGAAACATTAATCAAAGTACAGAAGATTTGTTTTATGTTGGATGAAGTATAGAAAGAATGTGGCAGATCCAGGGATTCAAAAGGGGCCCAGGGAAGGACATTTACAGATAGATGGTTCAGTCCATCTCAACCCCACCATGATTGTGGCTGAGGTGTAACATTTTTATTGCTATTGCACAGATGTGCGTAAATGGCACTTGTATAGGACAAAAAGAAAATTACACAAGTGTAGTTGAACTCAGCAAATACATTGCATGTCTTGCAATTATGTAGGAAATTAAATAAAATTTGGCTTTGTTCCCTGGAACAAAGTTATTCTTTAACCATTTGAAGTCCCAAGGGGGTCTATTTTAGGTCGCTGGGACCCCTTAAGGGGTTTTAATAGGTTTCTGAAAAACGCATAATAAATTTTTATGACTGTAACTTTCTGCAAATGTTTGGTTTGATTGTTGGGTAAAATGTTTTGGGCTTCCGAAAAATAGCAAAATTGTTAGACTTTTTTACCTAGGTCAAAGGTCATGTGCCCCAAATTTGCGATTTAGGGGCCCAAAAAGGGTACTTTTTTCCCATGAACCCCATGTAAACGACACTAAAAAATAGAGGCAAGTAAGCCCTTATTTCTAACTTGGGTGGACTACTGGACCTAGGATATATTTCACTAAAACTAGTACACTTGATGAAATAACAATATTATAATATAACAACTAGATTTGAACTCATCACCGAGGACGATTTTTGTGATCTGCCGTACTTTGACCCTCAGGAAGCGCGCGCGGTGCTGATTGAAAAGTTTTATATACTAAAACATGCTCTAATTAGTTTTTTTTTAAATAGTCATTTTGAGCATTTTATTAGATTTACGCATATGTACGCTCACCTCTTGACGCCCGTGTCAGGAACCCAAAAAATGTAACAAAACGTAATTTCCAGCTTCAGTACGTGCTGTGAGCGTGAAAATGAACGTACGGGGCGTAAATTATGGAAAGTTATGGAATGCTGAAAATGACCTGAAACGTGCTTTAAATTATCTGAAAAGTGATATTGAGAATTTTCAAATTTTTTTTTTTTGGCTTATATAGCGCATTATGCCAAAGCCTCAATGCGCTTAACAATAAAAATAAAAATTATAGGAGAAATTTAAGAAAAGTACATGTTAAAAAGGTGAGTTTTTAAAGCTGCCTTAAAATCAACAATGGAGGTTGCCTGTCGGATTGTAATAGGCAAAGCATTCCAAAGGAAGACAGAAGTCCAAGAAAAAGAACGATTTCCATAATGCTTTGTTGACGGGCGAATAGAATGAGCAAGTAGAGACTCTGAAGTAGATCTCGGAGACCTCTTAGGAATATAAGGATGAATTAGTTGTGAAATAAACATTGGCGAGGAATTATGAAGAGATTTAAAAATAGATAACAAAATCTTAAAAGTGATTTTCTGTGTTACAGGAAGCCAATGAAGGTGCCTTAACACAGGTGTGATATGTTCCCTAATCGGGCTTAAATACAGTCTGCCGCCCTCTGTGTTCTATTTTGTTTACATCTTTTAAGAAAGAGAGATAAAAGGGCTCCGTGACAATCAATCAAGAATAAGCAAAATACGTTCAAATCAGTAGTAAAAAGATGACATCATAAATAAATTTTCAGTTTTTTTAAATTCAGATAGCAATATGATGACGTCACAATGTCCGATCAGCCATAATGATCTATGAAATCATATCTACAACTCGTGCTTTCAACGTAATAAAAATTGAGGGTTACATTTCATCCTACTGACTAACTGATTAAAAATAGGCATAATTTTAAGCTTGTATAATTGTTGACGTACGTGCACGTTAAGACGCGCGAATGGAAAATTAAGGTACCTGACATTCAACCTTGACCTGAAGTGTATGCCCATTTAATATGATTCAGAAATGACAGTGGTAAGATGATTATGGGGTCATCAACATTTTTAGGACAGAAAGATAAGGGGGGGGGGGGTCAGGAAAAACATTTATTTTGACCATGATGACGTCATCAAAATGTAAAAAGAAGTCACATATACGAAAGTAAATTGTCTCAGCTATAACATACCAAAAGTTGGGAGACGATCGATAAAGGATAAGCGAGATACACTCAAATGCGTATTTTAAAAAATGACGCCATAGATAAAATTCAGTTTTACTGAATTCAGATGGCAATATGATGACGCCACAATGTCCGATCAGCCATTATGATCCATAAAATCATATTTACAACTCATGTGCTTTCAGAATATGTAATAAAAATTGGGGGTCACCGATCATCCTAACCTATCCTTATTAAAAGTAGGCCTGATTTTAGCATATTTTCACTGTATGTTGGCACAAATCCGCGCAAAGATCATCCCTATGTTTGATGCGCGCGTACGGCATTGCTATTGGCCATAAGATGACTGAAAAGGATGGAAATTTGTGAAAACAATGTCAGGAACCCAAAATATGTAAAAAAAAAACTTAATTTTTAACTTCTGTATGTGCTGCGCGAGTAAAAATGCGCGCGCGTAGTGGACAATTTCTAAAAATTTTGAAATGCTCAAAATGGCATGAAACGTGCTCTAATTTAGTCAAAAAGTGATTTTGAGCATTTTGAAATTTTGAAGCATGCGTGCGCTTCATAACACGTGCGCAAGCATGCTTCAAAATTTTTTGGTACATGATATTCAACCTTGACCTGTAGTTTATGCCTACTCAGTATGATTGAGAAATGACAATTGGTTAGGATGATATGATCGATAATGTAAAAACGCAAAATTGCGCATAGATGACGTCACGCATGACTGAGCATATTGAAAACCTTATTGTGATTATTCCAGGCCAAGGCAAATGTTAGTTGAAGCGCGTTTGTGCATAGCTCGCGGTGATTTTGAGATATTGTGCAAAAAAGATATTGTGTGAAAGTAACAAGAGGTTATCCGCTGGGGAAGCGGATCACCAATAATGAAAAAGATGAGGGTAGGGATATTGAAATATGACCTAACCCATGTACATGACCTAACCCGAAATGAACGTTTGCAGACCTAGGCCTAGCATTACTGGTTGCGTTGCTAAAGTTTCTATTTACAATCTTTCCTCAGATTCATATTATTTATATTTATTAATTAATTAATTATATAAACAATCCCGCTATCCTCGTCTATCGAAGTGCATCAATCACTGACAGAAAAAATTGCCGATTTTTGCTCTATACAATCGCTAAGCCTTGTCTAGTCACGATGACGTTAGGAAAATCCCCTAAAAGAGTCACTAACAGAGGGCAGCATTATTAAAACAATAGTATATATAGGTCCGTACCGTATACCGACCGCGCATCCAGGGACAGTAAACTCCGTATTGGATACGGCCCACGACCTTAAAGGGTTTACTTCCTGAGTAAACTTGCAGTAGTAGTGATGTCTTGCCAGACCTGACGTGTTATCGCTGTACGTTTCCAAATAGTGACTTAGGTGGGAATCGAACCCACGACCTTCAAACACCAAGTCCGTTGCCACAACCACTAGACTACCAAGACCGCACCCAGGGACTAGGGGTAAATCCAATCCACAAGTAGCAGCAGGTACTGCAAATGTTTTTTTGATGTGAGTTTGTGTCAGGAAAATATCATAGGAGTCACCCACCTGAAGTGTTATCGTACCGAATACACATATTGTGCATACATTCCAGTACCTGCTGGTACTTGAAATGTAACATGTCATTTTTGTGATGCAAACTCATATCAAAATAAACTTAAGTAGTTAGCAATCAAATCATGTCATTCCCTGGCTAGTTAACTCCACATGTTAACATTTATAAATGTTAATATTAACATTAATATTAACATGTTAATATTTATAAATATTATAATTCAAATAACTCAATTTTATTAAAATTAAAACCAAAGATGGTACAGTAATTATTGGATCCTTTCAATTGTTTTCATACAGATTGCTTGGTTGGTGGGGACATCGTTATGTGTCACGATTCAAAATGGATAACAGTAAGTTTTAATCTTGAAAAAATTTCATTTAGGTTCAGAAATGTCTAGATGACAAATTTTTTTTTTTTTGTAAAGCTATAATGAAAACGAATTACTTACTCAGATATTTTCAATCCCTATCAGACGTCAACTGACAGCTAGGTGTATTGTAGCTTGGCCATGACGTCATCTGTTGACGACGTCGTACACATTACACATTCTCCGGATGTAGGTCGAAGGTTGTGCGGTTTTAAAATATTTAAATTCTCATCCACACATCTTTTAAATAGGTAGTCGTAAGCTATCAGTTATAAATAACAATGATGATGCTATTGAATAATTTATTTTTTCCAAATACCTTGTGGTCATTTTTTATCAATAGCTAACGTGAGAAGAACGTAAAACCGTGTGTCATCAGTCTAATGCTCTAGCAATCCTTTTTGAAGATCAAACTGTCTATTAATATTAAGAATATGTTATATGATTTTGCTTTCAATAGACATTAGGACTTAAAGTGGAGTTTATTTTATGGGAGGACAACAAAAAATATGGGATTCTATTGTGCCATAGTGCTTCCTGTTTTTTATGACTATCCTACCTCTTCTTTCTTTCTCATTTCTCAATTTTGATAACTCTTCATTCAATCACTTTTTCACCTCGTACCAACACTTTGCCATTGTAATAAGCAAGTTCTGTATAAATTATCAACTGTAACCGTGGTATAATAAGCTTCATGCCAACAAGGCCTCTAAGTGTTTTGTATTATTACCCCTATTCATTAGATGAAGCACTATCATACCAGTGAGCTGTAATTATACAGTTTCTTGATCATGCTAACTATATGGCTTTGATACTGAACATTGTTCTTTAATAGTTGAAATACCTTTCAATCTTTCTATGTGCAGATCCTGTGACGTCAAACACTTTAAGATAATCTTGTGGATTTTTTTTTATCGTCAAAAAGGATGTGTAGTATCTAGTGATCTGCTTTAGTATTTATTATTTATTTGGTATTTTGTTAGTATTTAGTATGTATTTCTTACAGCAGAAGTACTATATTTGATGGAAATGTGATTTATAGCAATACACTCTAATCTTGTTTGGCTTATTATATCATCAAGAAAAGATAATGGTGTCTGGTAATTCCATTCCAACTTTGTCAGATTTTATCCTTCGTAATATATGCTTTTGTTGAAAATTACTCTGGATAAAATATGAAGTTTAGGTAGAACCAAGAAATTTGTAATTCAATTAAATTGATACTTTCCAAGTCAGACGTCTTTTATACAAACCATAATAGCTAATAGAATTTCTATCAATTTTGTATTCAACTTGGTTTCTTCATAATATGTATTTTAGTTTGTAATAGTTGTATTGTCTTTTTTGTGCAATAATGCAGCAATGGATTTGTCACCGGGCGTGGCTGGATATCGTATATCCAACCCTTCCATAATGGCTATAGTTCCATTAAAGGCAAGCCTCGAGGTAAGTAAACAGATTAATAATAAAAAAATTAATAAATATCTTTAATGCACTCATACCAATGCATACCGTATTTGGAGGCTCAAGGTACGCTGTCTTTTTTGCATTCTTTTCATCTCATCTATTGTTTTCCCTTTTTTAATCTCATTTTTACTTTGCTTTCGATCATTTCTATTTTTTAAAACCATATTTATAGATGGTGACCCTTCCAGCGTATCCTAGATTCTCGACTGAGTTCGGGGGGCCCTCTTAAATGAAATAACACAATGCTTTTATCAGCAAAATCTCTTTATGAAGCTTGAGTGGGGAATGTGGTTTTTAGTTGTGAGAAAAAGTCCTGCTGCGTCACTGGAATTGAACCCAGGAGTTGAATAAGCTATTCAACTCTACTTTTCTCTTTTTTATCTTATTAGGTTGTCTTTTATTTTTCTTATAATTTTATTCTCTTGTTTATGTTTTTGTCATCTAATGTTTTATATTCCTTTTGATTTATCTTTTCTTTTTCTCTCTTTATTTTCATCTTATCTTCCCTATTCTCCTTTCTTTCCTTTTCTTTCTACAATATTCTTTGTAAATGTATTTGTTTAAATTTGTTATTCAGTATGTTTTATAATAAACTCTCACCCTAATATACTTGAATGTTTGGATTACTTCACCAATTAAGAGACAGAAATAATATTGTTCCTATATACTGTGGATAAACCTTTAAAAATGCTGGGGATCAATTCAAGAATTTTCTTTATATTTTAATCTTTGTCTTATTTCATCTCTTTAAATGAGCCATTTAATGTTGATTTGATAATTATTGTTATAGTTTATATTTGAGTGCTATAGTTCTTGTTATTGTTTTGTTGGTATTGTTATGGTTGATGTCATTATTGGTATTTTTGTTTCAATTAATAATTACAATATTTTATTTTTATTAGTATTTTTGCTTATTTAAATGTATTCTTTACAGGTATTTAATAAAACCAGCATGTCTGAGATTGTTTCTAAGCAAGTGTTGTTAACTGGGTATCTTGAATACCTTGTGAATCACTATTTTGCAAAGGATGCTGTGAAGCCTGGAATGCCGTATATTGATATCATCACACCTTCTAATTCAAAAGAAAGGGGATGTCAGCTGTCCTTCATCTTCTCAATTGCTGTCGACCAAGTTCACAAACAGTTGAAGAAGAGAGGAGTTACAGTGAGTATGCGTATTTACACTCTAAACAATCTGTCAGCAATACCAAATTTTATGCAACATATTTGAGTGGTTTGCCTGTATAGGCCCCTGGTTGTTGTTGGAGGTACAGTACATAAGCTTTGTGATTTTATTTGCTTGTAACACAGCACATATACAGTGTATAAGATTTTGTCTGGTGCTACTTCTGACATGCAAAGAGACAATTTGTTTGATCAGATGTTTTTAAAAAGCTGACTAAATACTCTCTGATATGTCTGACAGACACAGTCGTATAGTTTTCCAGTCTTGGTCAATTCCATCTGTTTTCTGTCACTTGAAAATTTTAAAGATTTTATTTTATATTTTGTTTTTTTGAACAACACAATTGTTCTAATTTGATTTGTTCCATGGTTTGAATCCATGGTGTGTATCACTTAGTACTGTGGTTTTTGTTGCTCACTTTGTTTGAGAATATGCTATTCATTCACAATTACATATTTCATTTCATATTGAGGAAAAATGACCTCTTCCTTTTTTTAAAAAACCTAAACCATCAACAATTGTTTTTTTTTATAAGGCTTGTATCAATTTAATTTTGTATAAACATTTTTCTTTATAGTGTGATAAACGTGAACCTGATGTGCTGCGATTCGCACCTATACCTTTTTACACATCTTATATTTCCATCTATCATCTGATTGGTCACCTCCAGCAAGCACTCAAGGTGTGTGTTCTAAATACGACATCAGTCGATGGTGTCAACGGACACTGATTTTCCTGATAATAATACTGTAAGACATCACAACAAAAACAAATCGTGAACTTGCCAAATATGATGGAACGGTTTTAAATGGTGTATATTAATTTGTTTGGACTTTAGGATTGGTTAATTAAAGTATATTTCACTAATAGAGTATTGGGTCACAGTGCCTTTAATATAATAACTGTATTTATGTTTAATATGCCTGTTACATGTATTTTCCTCTAATTTTTATGAGCATTTTCAGTGCAACAAATTTCCTTTTGGGCAAATATAGTTGTCAGTATTTAGTATTATTAAGCACAAAATAAAGAATTTAATTATAGTTCTGGGTCATTATAGTAAAATAAGTTTTTGGGTGAGTTAATATTAAAGCATGGGTCACTCAGGGAGTTGTTAATTAGACTTTGGGTATCTTTCCAACTACAGGATTATGACTAGTAGTAGAAGTAGACCGTATAAATGAATTTAAAATGCCTATTCATACTGGACAAAATAGCTCCTTGTCAAATATTATTTTTGATATAAATTTGAGAGTTTTAATTATTGTTGTTTAAATGTTGCAATTTGCTATTTATTTAGTTTCAAAGTTTATATCATTTTATCATTTTTATACATAATTTGTTTACATCAAGTTACATTAATAATTGTGTGTGCTACAAATTTCGCAATTCTCATCCTTAATTTGCTGCAATAAAATCAAATGCTTCCCTGCCTCCCCACCCCCTTCAATTTTAGTCATTCATTTCACTTCATGTAGCTCCACTTGCATTCAAACTTTTTGATTTGTTGA